TGCCTAAACTGGTTTGGCTCAGTGAATAGAGCATCGGCCTGCGGATTGAAAGGTCCCAGGTTTGATTCCGGTCAAGGGCATGTACCTTGGTTGTGGGCACATCCCCAATAGGAAGTGTGCAGGTGGCAGCTGATCGATGTTTCTCTCTATATATCCCTCTCCCTTCCTTTGTAAAAATTCAATAAAATATATTTTAAAAAATAATAAAGATTTTAAAAATACCCTCACAAAATATATACAGCTAATATATTATTTAATACTATAAACAGGATCTGGTATTATTTAATTTGGGTTCTTATTATTATTCCTGTTAAGTAACTTTAGACACATTGGAACCAAGGGTGAGAATTAGTTAAGACAGCAGAGCATCTTTGCTGTATACTGCTAATGAAATAATAGGCAAAGAACATGGTTTTATTGAGTAAATCAAATGACTCTTCTTCTCAAAAATATCCAACAGTTCCCCAACATCCATGTAACATAAAATATCAAATTTCCTCATGCTGTCTTTCAAGAATCATCAACATAATTGCACTGCCAGCTTTTTGTTTGTTCTCACTAAAAAAAAATAAAAAAAAATAAAAATAAAGCAGCTTATTTCTTGCTCACAGTGCATGTCCATCACAGGTAGGTAAGGTGCCCAGCTCTTCATAGTAACTCAGGATCCTGGGTGGAGTGCAAAAAAACTGCCCACCCAGAATCCCTTATCTACAGAAAATATACTTTACCAATTTCTGCAATCGCCAGGGCAGAGAGAAAGGGGGTGAGTGGCTTTCTTTGAATCATCCCCATATTCCCAGTGAGAGCCTAGTGAGGTTCCTAGAGCAAAACCCTCCCCACCATAACTGTAGCCCAAAGGAGTAGCACACACTCAGCCTCCAGCAGTTCATCGGAATTTCCAGTTTAATGTACTTACAGGCCTCAATGGCCTCTGGAGGCTACTGTACAAGGTAAGCAAATGCCTCCACTTGTGTCTCCCTGCAGGCATCTCCCTTTCCAGGTTTTGGGATCTAAGTTTGCCCTGAAAACTCAATTTTCTGATGGGTCCAAGAAAGCCACTGAGAAACAGTTTGTCTAGCTTTTTTCTTGTTTTAAGGGAAGGAGTGATAAGTACTCAGCTTCTGTACATGTCAAAGCTGAAATTGGAAGTTCTATCTAGACTGCTAGCATATTTTAAAATCACAAAATTTTTACACATTTGTTATAAAGACCATACTGTTAAGATATGGGAATTTCCCTTTCTTTGTCAGGCCCTTGAAGTCCCCCTACCTAGTTACAAAGATCACTATCAATATACTGTGAATCTCATACTATTGGGAAATTCCAAGGCACAGCCCTCTTCTCAAACTACCCCCACTCCCTTGATGATCTTATCCAGTCCCACTACTTTAAATATTTTTATTTATGCTGACTGCTCTCAAAATTTTTTATCTTCAGTCTCAATTTTGCTCCCAAATTCAGAATCATATATCCAACTGTCAACTCAAATCTACTTGCAGGTCTAACAGAAATCTCAGACTTCAAGTTTTCTAATCCAAACCTGCCTCACCTACAGAATCACCATTTCAGTTTAACCTCCATCGTTCCAGTTACTCACGCTAAACACACCTTGATATCAGCCTTGATACTTCCCCTTCCTTTATAAGCTACATTCACTCTGTCAGAAAAATCATACTGGCTCCATGTTCAAACGAAATCTAAAATCTGACCACTTCTCCCAATTTCCACTAGAAACATACAAGTCTGAGTTACTATCATCTGTTGCCTGGATTGGTACAACAGCCTCTTTGCTTCTACCCATGTTTTCTCTCTTTCCCCAACTTGGATGTTTCTCAACACACCAAGCAGAGTGATCCATTTAAAATACAAGATAGCCTTAGCCAGTTTGGCTCTGTGGTTAGAGTGTTGGCCCGCAGACTAAAGGGCCCCAGGTTTGATTCAGGTCAAGGGCATGTACCTTGCTTGCAGGCTCCATCCTGGCCCTGATCAGGGTGCATGTGGAAGGCAATCAATTGATGTGTCTCTCTCACATCAATGTTTCTCTCTCTTTGTCTCTCCCCACCCTTCCACTCCCTCTCAAAATCAATAGAAAAAATATCCTCAGGTGAGGTTTAACTAACCTATATAATAAAAGCCTAATATGTTGTGTCTGGCCATCAAGTTGTCCATTGAACCAATCAAAGCGTAATATCTAATGATATAATAAGGCCACTCAACCACTCACTATGAGATCAACCGGTCGTTATGATGTGCACTGACCACCAGGGGGAAGACAGTTGACCAGTAGCTAAGCTTATTGCTGGGGTCCGATCAGGATTGAGTGAAATGGGCCGGACACGCCCTGGAGCCCTCCCTTGAGCCCTCCTGTGGTCTCTCCCTGGCTGGCCAACCTCCCGTGTCCCTCCACGGCCCCAATTGTGCACTGGTGGGATCCCTCGGCCTGGCCTGCACCCTCTCGCAATCTGGGACCCCTTGGAGGAGGTCGGAGAGGGGTCACAGCCCAATCCCGA